TCTCTCTCTCTCTCTCTCTCTCTCTCTCTCTCTCTCCTTCCCTCCCTCCCTCCTCCTTCCTCTCTGAAATCAATAAAGTGGTGGGCATGCCCAGTTGAAGTGACTCAGTGGTTAACCGTCAACCTATGAACCAGGAGGCCAAGGTTCAATTCCCAGTCAGGGCACCTGCCCAGGTTGTTGGCTCAATCCCCAGTAGGGGATGTGCAGGAGGCAGCCAATCAACGATTCTCTGTAATCATTGATGTTCTATCTCTCCCTCCCTCTCCCTTCCTCTCTGAAATCAAAAATATATTTAAAAAAATAAAGTGGTGGGCATGTTCAAATTTCAGGAAAGAAATTGATAATATTGGAAAGGATTGACTCAGAGGATACCAGTTCCAGAATAATATATATTCAACTAGAGGCACAGTACACGAATTCATGCACAGGTGGTGTCCCTCAGGGTGGCCTGTGGAGATCGGGCCCCAGCTCGCACCCCCAGCCTTATAGCCCTGCATCCCCACCTGGCACCCTTGGCCTGGTGCTGCCCCCTTGGCCTGGTGCTGCCCCCTCACCTGCTCCACCATCCCACCTGTGGGGTGATCAATTGGGGCAGGGCCTGCTGCCCAGCTCCCTCAGCACTTGGGAGCCGGGCAGCGGCCCCGCCCCCTGCCACCGCCTCTGGTTGCCATCTGCAGGGCAATCAGCGGGGCAATCGGGGCCCCTGCCGATTGCCCTATCCAGTGGTGCTTCCCACTCACCTGCTCCATCATCCTGCCATGGTCCTGCTCCCGTCGGGGCCCATCAGGCTGGCAGCGCCTTCACTGCCTCCCACTGCCAGCGCCATGTCACCGATGCCCACTATGTTCCACGCCACCCCCTGGTGGTCAGCACACATCATAGCGAGCAATCGAACTCCCGGTCTCTCCCAATCGAACAACCACTCGGTACAATTTGCATATTAGGCTTTTATTATATAGGATTACTTGTAAATCATAGCCTCTGCTGTTCTCCCTTGCTGGCAGGGTTGGGTATGGAAATTTCAGGGTGAATTTCAGTTCTTCTTATAGGGTGATCTTACCTTCACCGAGAGAAAAAAATCCTTTTCTGGCTTCACAGAACTTTGCACTCAAATTCTCTGTTTTATGGAAGCAATCATGAGTTTCAAAGCAAACCAAGTTAGATATGTTCCCCCTCTAGACAATTGGTTCACTGTTTTTGCTTATATATGGGGAAATTATTGTATGAATTTTGAATAATCAAATAAGCCTCTGTTTTTTAGACTATGATTTGTTACTTCTCAGATTTTTCTATTAGATAATTAATTTTTTTAAGTAAATCTTGATGTGTATCTCTAGTAATACTGTTCTTGTGAAACTCTACTTTCCCCAGTGTATTAGGCTACTTCTAAGTTTCTTATGGTAAAATAAGTGGTTTATGTAAGTATTGAATGACTAACCAATACTAGATCCCTCTTTTATGATATCAGGGCTGATATCATAAAGCTAAAATATCCCAAGTAGATAAACAGCATTAACTTACATCATGCATAGTTGTACACTTACTAGTAAGAGGAAAAAATTTTGAAATCAATTATATATATACTAGAGGCCCATTGCTGCCGGCAGCCGGTCCATCCTTGCTGCTTGACACAGTCACTGCAGGAAAGAAACATCTGCACAGCATATGTTTCAAGGGACCTGGCATATATAGCATATTGTTCTTAATATGTTTGCTCTCCTTAGCGCCATGTGTTTTAACCAAGGTCACCTCTCCGAGAAAGGTTGTTTCCCCAGGTGGGGATTTTTCCCTGAGGTTAGGGAGGGGATACAACCCCTTAACTAAGTGCCAGGCGGGTAGTTAATCACTTTAACTACAAACAATCACACTTAAGCTACATAATCTTTACTCCTTGGAATGGAGATAAGAAACGCCCTAACCTTTGCAATAGAAATTGACAGGATTAAAATCGACTGGTATAAATACAGATGTAACAAGGCAATAAACATCAGATCCTGATCAGATCCTAACCAGAACTTGGCTGGAGATCCTGGCTAGAGGTCCTGACTAGGCTGCTGATCAACTGAAGGCTGTCTCCGTGTCATTCCTTCTTCGCCGACTCCGTCCACACCTTTGGGGACCCCTGGACCTGCTGGGGTTGGACCCCAACACATTGCATGAAGAGATTCATGATTCACAGGATAATGCTCAACCACTAAGCCACACCGGCTGGGCATGGGTATACTTCATTCTTAGGTAATAGGCCTTCCTTCCCCTGGCTGCCGGCACCGGTTTTCCTCCGGCACCCGGGACCCAGGCCTTCACTCCAGCCGCAGCGGAGAAGCCAAGCCTCTTTAGTTTTCAGTCGTCTTCAGTCTTTAGTCGTCGTCAGTCTTCGCTCTGTGCCTGCATATGCAAATTAACTGCCATCTTTGTTGGTTGAATTTGCATACTCATCCTTATTGGCTGGTGGGCATAGCAGAGTGACACCAATTTACATGTTTCTCTTTTATTAGTGTGGAGGCCCAGTGCACAAAATTTGTGCACGAGGGGGGGTCTCCTCAGCCCAGCCTGCACCCTCTCTAATCTGGGACCCCTAGGGGGATGTCCGACTGCCTAGGGGGATGTCCTGGGGTTCGGGCCTAAACCGGCAGTCGGACATCCCTCTCACAATCCTGGACCACTGGCTCCTAATTGCTCACCTGCCTGCCTGCTGGTCACCCCTTACTGCCCCCCCACTGCTGGCCTGGTTGCCTCCAACTGCCCCTCCTCCCCCTGCCAGCCTGGTCGCCCCACACAGCCTGCTGTTCAGTCGTTTGGTCGTCCCTCACTAACCCCCCTGCTGACCTGGTTGTAGGCAGCCATCTTGTGAGGGTCAATTTGCATATTATCTTTATTATTGATTTCAGAGAGGAAAGGAGAGGGAGAGAGAGAAACATCAGTGATTAGAGAGGATTATCGATTGGCTGCCTCCTGCAGGCCCCACACTGGGGATCGAGCCCACAACCCGGGCATATGCCCTGACCGGGAATCGAACCGTGACCTCCTGGTTCACAGGACAATGCTCAACCACTAAGCCACACCGGCTGGGCATGGGTATACGTCATTTTTTTTTTTTTTTTAAATATATTTTATTGATTTTTTTACAGAGGAAGGGAGAGAGATAGAGAGTTAGAAACATCGATGAGAGAGAAACATCGATCAGCCGCCTCCTGCACATCTCCCACTGGGGATGTGCCCGCAACCCAGGTACATGCCCTTGACCGGAATCGAACCTGGGACCCTTCAGTCCGCAGGCCGACGCTCTATCCACTGAGCCAAACCGGTTTCGGCCATTCTTAAGTAATGTACTTATTCTATAGCAACTTCCTGCAAATATGTGAACAGAAGGTCTCAAAGATACCTGGTGAGGTTTGGTTTCCTCTGAGGCCTTTATGGTTGTTGCTTCTGTTGTTTAATAGCCCTTCATGAACTGGAGCTAACCTAATGTCATGAAGTATGAAAATAGTGTTTTTCTTTATGACCCTAGTTTCTAAGAGCCAAACATAGCTCCAAAGGGCCGAGCCTCACCCTAAGCGCTGAAGCTAGTCCTAAAGGGTTGACCCTAGTTCCTAAGAGCCAAGCCTGGGACCAAAGAGTCCAGCCTCGTCTGGAAAAGCCAAGCCTAGCTCCAAAGAGCCCAGCCTACTCCTGAAGCGCTGAGTGTAGCCCGCAAAAGCTGAGCTAACCCCAAAGAGCCAAGCCTAGCCAGAAGGAGCCCAACCTAGTTCCAAATGGCCTAGCCTAGTGCCAAAGGGTGGAGCCCAGTCCAGAAGGTCAGAGTCTAGCCCAGGGGTGGGCAAACTTTTTGACTCGAGGGCCACAATGGGTTCTTAAACTGGACCGGAGGGCCAGAACAAAAGCATGGATGGAGTGTTTGTGTGAACTAATATAAATTCAAAGCAAACATCATTACATAAAAGGGTACGGTCTTTTTTTTTTTTTTTAGTTTGCCCACGGCTGGTCTAGCCCCTAAGAGCCTAGCTTAGCCCCAAGGAATGGAGCGAGGCCTGAAGAGCTAAAGCTAGTCCCCAATGGATAACCCTAGCCCCCAAAACATTTTTTTTAATTAAGGAAAAACATTGGGGAATCCCATACCACAACAGACCTTTTGCTTCAAAATGTCTCTAATATCGTTTAGCCTCCATATCCTAGTGCAATGTTGTGCATTGATGCCACCATGATATCAATACTAAGGAGTGGAAGCTGAGCTCAGCCACTCTGGCTCTTGCATGGGTCAGAGGATTTGTTTTTCTCCTGAAACAAATCCCATATACATGCATGTACATATTGTCCCACAAACATCCCCAAGTAGAAACCAGGATTAGCTACACAGTAGTCCCAAGAAAATTTTGGTCGCTAGGCCTTGATGAGTGTTTCAGAGGTGGGATTTTGAATCCATCTGCTCCAGTGTTTCTCAACTGCTGTGTTGCGATGCAACAGTTACTTGCTACAAGTCTGTTTTCCCTCAACACATGAACTTCATCAGGCCTGTGTTCCAGTAGGGGCTTTTGGTAGTAGGACTTGACCAGCTTTTTGGAAGACAACACCTCTTCCCCTCCATAATGCTGGGTTAATAGTGAATGGGCAGCCCCTGACGAGATAAGGCGCCTGGGCCTCCTCTCCTTCCCTCCTCCCCCAGAAGCAGAGCCTCTGTCACGGACTTCAAACCTTGGGCATTTTCCTAGCCTGATTCTCTGCCACCGCTCTACTGCTGTCAAATATCTACATATGATCTGAGCATAGGAAGGCTGGGAAAACTTAGAATCATACCCAAGGCCAGATTTGATGGAACTTTCTCTAGAGGAGAGATGCTCTTAATACGTTTCGGTCAACTCCCCAGTACTCTCACAGTCACTTTGAGTTCATTGCTGTTTGAACAGCAGACGTGCACTTTTGTGCAGTTTTTAAAAGATTTATTGATGTCTCAGCTTCGGTAGCCACGGTTTCGGGACATTTCAGTCTTCAAGGTCTTTTAAGAAGCCCATTTCCCTACCAGAGGAGCCCTGCTACTTCATTGTTTGACTCTTTGTCCTCCTTAACCATTTTCCTTTTTCTTCAGTTCTTCTACTTTAGTAACGTAGATCCTCATGGCGTCCATCTTGGTCATCCCTTTTTTCTCATTCCATGCCTCCCACTTGGCCTTGGCTTTCACGTCTGTGTCAGGCGGGGCAGGGATGTCGCAGTCGCCCTTGGTGGCCTGTTTGTAGAAGCTGTACACCACCAGCTTCTCCTGATCACTCACAGGGCCCTTCAACTGCTTCAGAGTGGCGCAGGCCAGCTCAAATTCCACTTGGCCCATTGCGGGAACTGAGGTTCGGCCCCTCTGGCTTTTTTAAGTGATACCTGGTCCTAGAAGCTGGAGGGTGAAGAACTAGAAACACTTGGGGCTGGTGATGAAGTCTGGGAAGAAGGGAAAGAGAGAAAAGGAGACAGGGTGATATATATGGGGAAACACGGGATATTTGTGTGTTCTCAGTGAAAAACCAAATGGGCCCACTGGACTGGATCTGCCCTCACTGCCCGCCGCCCCCCCCCCTCCCCATACACACACAGTTGTTCTGGTCCCGCACTGTGCATTTTCTGGGGCGGAGGACGACCATTCACATTTCAAAGGCGTTTACGATGCCAGAAAATTAAGGAGCTGCTGCTGTGTTCTGAAGGAGGAGCAATGGGGACGCTTTGGGAGGCTGTGGCGCTAGGTGGTCAGAGCGTGAGACGGGAGATGCGCTGCGGGGGAAGAAGCCTGGCATTACAGAGGGTGCGTCCGTGCTGGCTAGTGGGCAGCCTGCGAGGGGCGTTCAGTGTGTGTGAACTGCGGGGGATTCCGGGGTGACCGGGTGGAGCCGAATGCGGGGCTGGGAACGCAGCTAATGGGTAGGACCCACTGGGATCAGGAGGCAGGGCTGGGCAGTGGACTGGACCGGTGGGTGCCCGAAAGGAGGCGGGAAGCGGAGGGTGCCCGGCGGCCAGGGCCGGGGCCCG